ATTGGGAAAGAATACTGTTTTCAACAAATAGTATGGAGACAACAGGATTCCACATGCAAAAGAATGAATTTAGACCTTTATTTCATACCATATTAAAAAATTAACTCAAAATAGATCATAGACATCATGTGAGAGCTAAAACTATAAAAATTCCTAGAAGAAAATATCATACATCTTTATGACCTTGGGTTAGACAATGGTTTCTTATGTAAGATGCCAAAAGACCAATCAATGTAAGAAAAAATGGTAAGTAGGACTTCACTAAAATAAACTATTGTGCTTCAAGAGAAGAAAAAAAGAAAAAAAAAAGGCTGGGCATGGTGGCTCATGCCTGAAATCCTAATGCTTTGGGAGGCCAAGGTGGGAGGATCGCTTGAGCCCTGAGTCCAAGACCAGCATGGGCAACATAGCAAGACCTCATCTCTCTTAAAAAAAAAAAATAATAATAATAATCAAAAGAATTAGCTGAGTGTGGTGGTGTGTGCCTGTAGTCCCAGCTACTGGAGAGGCTGAGGATCACTTGAGCTCAGGAGTTCAAGGCTAGAGTGAGCCGAGATCACACTGCTGCACTCCAGCTTGGAGAACAGGGCAAGATGCTGTATCAAACAAATGAACAACAACAAAAAAAAAACAGAATGGGAGAATATTTTTGCAGATGATATATTTGGTAAGAAACCTTTATCCAGAATATGTAACAAACTTACAATTCAGCAATTTAAAAAATGTTTAAAACTTGGCAAATGATTTGAATAGACATTTCTCCAAAGAAGATACACAAATGGTCAAGAAGCACATGGAAAGATGCTTGACTTTACCAGTCATTAGAGAAATGCAAGTCAAAACCATAGTTAGATGCTGTTTCATATTCACATATAATCTACAAGAGATAATAGCAGGCGTTGACAAGGAAGTGAAGAAATTGGAGCCCTCACACTTGGCTGGTGAGATTATTTTTCCCCCTGCTCCCAAGATGGAGTCTTGCTCTGTCATCCAGGCTGGAGTGCAATGGCGTTATCACGGCTCACTGCAACCTCTGCCTCCCAGGTTCAAGCAATTCTCCTGCCTCCGCCTCCCGAGTAGCTGGGATTACAGGCACGTACCACAACACCCGGCTAATTTTTGTATTTTTACTAGAGATGGGGTTTCACCATGTTTGCCAGGCTGGTCTCAAACTCCTGACCTTGTGGTCCGGCTGCCTCAGCCTCCCAAAGTGCTGGGATTCAGGTGTGAGCCACTACGCCTGGCCAAGATTTTAATATGATGTGGTCACTTTGGAAAACAAGTTGGCAGTTCCTCAAAATGTTAAACGGTCATATGACCCAGTAATTCTGCTCCTACGTATATTCCCAAGAGAAATGCACATCTACTGATGAATTGCTAAATAAATGTGGTATAGTGACACAATTAAATATTATTTGGCAGTAAAGAGGAATGAAATACTGACATATGATACAATGTGGATGAAAATATGCTAAATGAAGCCAGTCATTTGTGGTTTCATTTATAGTAAATAAGCAGAATAGATAAAACAAGAGAAACAAAGTAGATTAGTGGTTGCCAGTGTCTGAGAAGAGGGGAGAATGAGGACTAATTGCTGGGTTTCTTTTGGGGGTGATGAAAATGTTCTGAAATTAGATAGTGATGATGGTTGCAAAACTGTTCATATGCTAAAAACCACTGAGCTGTACAGTTTAAAAGATGAATTTTATGGTATGTGTATGATATCTCAAGCCTGTTATGAATTTTAAACTCCCAAAACTATTCCTCAAGGCATTTTGGGCATAAAGATCAAAAGAAGGATTTCAGAGGGTAGAGATATTATTTCTAGGTTGGGTGGTAGATTGAGAATTTGTGAACGAGGTATGTTTGAGCTGAATGGTTTTTAAGGAAGATGAACACTTAGATACGTAGCTGTCACCAAAAGGAAGAGTTTTGAGTCACAGAATTCAGCATGAGGCAAGCTCAGGAAATCAAGAATATCTTTGGGAGGGAAGTTGTAGTTCAGTTTAGCAGTTGTACAGAGTTTGTGAAAAATTCAATCCAGAATTTAATTGGAAAGGTGAGCTGTGCCCAGAGCAGAGGGACCTTGGAGTGCAAGGAATTCTGTCTTATTTTGTCAGCTATAGGGAGTGGGTAAAAAATGATAGGCCTCAGAGTTGTGTATTAGGAAAATTGACAGCTCAGCCTTTGCATTAGCTAGAAGGGAGGGAACCCAACTGTGGAAGTACCCCCTTAGGAGTCTCTTGCAGTCGGGTTGAGAAGAAGGGCTTCCTGTCCTAAATTATCTAAAACTGGAATTATTTTGGTTAAATTCTGGGCCTTCTGATACCAACTTGGTGAATTGGAAAGTCCTCACACAAATATTATTCTACTTCATTTTCTGGGAAAATAAATCTGTTTCCTAGTAAAGAACTGTCTGGGGCCGCTGAACAGTGGTGTTTGGACCCTCACTCAACCAATCCCGTGCACAGCATCTCCTTTTTGTTCTATTCCTCGCCACCTGTGGTGGTGGTGTTATTTTTCTCTTCCCTTCTCTATCTCCTCTCTTCCTTTCTACCCCAACTGGATTTACTTTCTCCCTGTCCCTCAGCTTTACCTGCTCACCTCCAATGGTAAGACAGTATCAGAGAAAATTACCAGTGTTTGTGCAACATAAAGAAAGTTTGATGAAAACTGTATTAGAGAAAACAGCATGCAGAAACCTTTCCATGAAACATAGATGGACACATGACATGTAGGCCATGTTAAAAACTTTAATGGAAAAATATGCTAAATGTGATAAAGTTCTTTTCTAAGTAAACTTAATATAAAAGTAATTGGGGTATAGAGGAGACTCACTGTAAGTATTCTCAAGCCTGTAACTTCCAGAGCTCATGAAAATTTCAGCGTTCCCATTTGTGACTTGCTATTAAACTCTTTTCTGCTATTTTGATGTCTCCTGTTTTGGTGTCCTGAATAGCAAACTTATGACCCTGATTATGGCTCAAGCCATGGATTATGAAATGGTTACCACATACCTGAGATATTAGGAACTAAAAGGTTGTCATATTTTCATATGTTTATAATGAGGCTATCTAACTTATACCAGTTACCAAATGTCTTTTTTTTTTTTTTTTTTTTTTTTTTTGAGATGGAGTCTCACTCTGTCACTCAGGCTGGAGTGCAATGGCATGATCTCAGCTCACTGCAACCTCTGCCTCCCGGGTTCAAGTGATTCTCCTGCCACAGCCTCTTGAGTAGCTGGAATTACAGGTGCCCACCACCACACCCAGCAAAGTTTTTTTGTATTTTTAGTAGAGATGGGATTTTGCCATGTTGTCCAGGTTGGTCTTGAACTCCTGGCCCCAGGTGACCTGCCTGCCTCGGCCTCCCAAAGTTCTGGGGTTACAGGCATGAGCCACCGCCTGGCCCAAATTTATCATTTCTATCAAACACTTGATCTTGGATCGCATTAAAAAACACACAGCATATTGATAAGGACATTTAAAAATCGGGCGGGGCACAGTGGCTCATGTCTGTACTCCCAGCACTTTGGGAGGCCAAAGCGGGCGGGTCACCTGAGGTCAGGAGTTTGGACATGCCATGGACAGCATGACAAAACCCCTGTCGCTACTAAAAATACAGAATAACTGGGTGTGGTGGTACGCACCTGTAACCCCAGCTCCTTGGGAGGCTGAGGCAGGAGAATCACTTGAACCTGGGAGGCAGAGGTTGCAGTGAGCTGAGATCACACCACTGCACTCTAGCCTGGGCGACAGAGCGAGACTTCATCTCAGAAAAAAATATAAAAATAAAAAAAAAACCATAGGCATTTTTTTCCAGGTTAGATTTTTTCCTGAGATAAGTATGCGCAAACAACACTATTACAGTGTGAACATCAGGATGGAGTTATCCAAAACTCAGAAGAAGCCTTTTTCTTTAAAGAGTTTGTCAAGTTTTTTGTTTGTGTTTTGGGGGGTGGGGGTTTGAGGGAAAGGGCATGGTGTTAAAAGGATGGCTAAAGGGTGGTAGATTGGGTTTTTTGTTCTATTCAAGTGAGAGTGTTGAAGACAAACTCTGTGATATTCTGAGAGGGAGGGAAGTTCAGACCTGGGCCAGATTTGCATCAGGAGGTCCATTTTTGAGTCTTGGCTCCATTACTTACTGTTTACCTGAGCCAAGTTGCCACTCTTCCTGAGCCTGAGGTTTTTCAACATAAAATGGGGAATTTGAAAGGTCAAATGAATTAACTCATAAGATTTGTGTTGTCTGGTTTATTGTAAACGTTGAGTCCTATGGAGACTTCAGAGATTTTACCATTCGTATTTTTATGATATATAGAACAGCTTAAAACTCCCCCTTTGGTGTAAGTATAGTATATAGAGGTATAATGTTCTGAATAAATTACTACAATCATAGTTTGTGAAACCTAATTATAGCTGGTACTCTGGAAATGTAACTCAGTTGTAGTCCAGAAGTTTATGCTCAAGGTGGTGCTGTTTCCCCATAAATCTGATGATGTTTTACATTTTATCTCTGTCTGTTCCAAATTAAGCAAATAACTGGATATATGCTTAGGGCTGTTTCTGCCTTCCACAGTCCCCAAGCTGCCTTTCCTTGTGAGACCCCACCCAAAATCATGTCGTAGAAATGTTTATTAATCCCATATTCACTAGAACACACGTGGGAGCTAATTGTTTGTTGAGTATACCAGTGGACCTGTTACATTTTGGAAGACATTTGTTAATACTTTAGATACTACAGCTTGCATTTTGTATTTTACAGTCAGTTTGTTTTTTTGAAAAGCTTGTAAGCCCTGGCTCCTAATGGAGTAAAGGACCTAATGTAGTTCTTCTGCAAACTGATTACAAGGGAAAATACTCATTTCGAACTTATTTTGCTCATAATCTCTATCCGGACCGCCATATTAATCATTTCCTACTTCTTGTCAGAAACCAGACATGCATTTCGTAGATGTGGTCATTGTGTGTTTGATGTGAATTGTTTTGTTTTGTTTTTAGATCCGGGGATTTCTGTCACGGTTTGATAATGTCCTTCCCGTCAGCCTGGCATTTGACAAATGTACAGCTTGTTCTTCCAAAGTAAGTCATTTTGTATTGGAGGGACTTGTTTTTAAAAGTGAGCAGATCAACATTTGACCACAGCCTCACCAGCTAGAGCCATTGAAACCAACTAAGAGCTTTTTGTGGGGGAAGGGTGGGGTCTAAACACTCAGAAAGGACTTTGTTTTCATGGATGTGTATTCATTCTCACAGTGGTTTAAAACCAGCCTGAGAAAATGTGTAGGGAGACGAGTTAGAATATTTCAACTCTGTATCAATACTTACATCATGCTAATTTTGTCTTGAATTTGAACTTTACTGCTCTTTGTTCCTCCCCAGAGGGTTCCCTCCTAGCAGGGACCCTCACAGAGCAATTTTTTAAAACATTACTCTGAGAGTGAGGCAGCCCTGGCTATGCATCTTCTGCAGATCCACATAATTACAAAGAAGAAGTAAACAGAGATTAGGGGTCTGGATGGGGAGCCACTGAAAGGGCCCCTTCAGCTTTGATCTTTCCAGAAGCTCTAAAAATAGAGCCAGTATGTTAGCCATCGTAATGGGAAACGGCTGATATATCGCAAAACTACAGTGATGGCATCTCATGTTTTAATAGGCTTTCAGATACCGTCTGAGTGACTTTTACATGTACACTGTATGTGATAGCTGATTTCCTTCCAAGTGTTCCTTTCAGCCTTCTAATGCCCAGTGACTTGACCTGGGCTTTTAAGGCTCATGATTGCTGATAAGTAAAGATTTTCATGTTGAAGTACTATACAAAATAATGTTGGCTACTAATGCCCAACTGTGGCTTCTCAGTTATAATTTGGGACTATTTTTCTGTATAGCCTTCATCCGCCTGCCACTGTGGAAGAAAGAGAATTCTAGGGACGTTTTTCTCTATTCTGAGTTGACAAGCTTCCTTTGAAAACTGTACTTGGGTTATATTTTATGGGAAGCACAATCCTGACCAGTTTCTCTAAAAAATTGAATGTAGAATTGACAAGCAATGTTAATAAATTTGGTTACATTTAGATGCTCAAAAATTTAGAGTAACTATTTTCTTTTTGCTTCCAAAGTAAATTAAGCCCATTTTATTATGCATCTCAAGTGCCTATGTTGAGATTTCAGGCTTAGACTTTGTCAGTAGTTACCTATGAGCCCATTCTTCCTGTAGTTTCCTTTAAGATATATCTGCTCAAGCCAGGGCCTCAAGGATGTCTGTCTGCATGCACCTCCATCTTCAGAAATGCAAGTTTTAGGATTATATACTACGTCTTTAGTGGAGGAGATTTTTTTTTTCTTTGAATGGTTGAGCTAACTGGTCTCAGAATAACTTGGCAGTATTAATTTTCATACTGAAATCATTTGGCACAGGTGCCAGAAGGTTTTCTATAGCTTTATGTTGGTCTGGCTAGTCAATGAAATAAAGATAATTGGGTTCTCTAAGTGAAATGCAAACACTCATCTTTTTTGTTCTATTTCTAATTAAATTAGCCTTTGAGATACTGTTTATAAAAGAATCACAAGCATACCAACTAACTGGGCATTCCTTATATACTTTAAAAGAGAATAGCTTAGCATTTTTCTTTCACACTTATTGTAAGCTTTAAATTAAATACAGGTATCACTTTTTTGTTAGCAAAATTATTTCCTCTTGGTGATTATTCTGAGAGTCCTGCTTTACATAAACATGTTGGACGATTTAATACAAACTGACTTGGATTTTAACAGCTGTGCTATTCCCATAGCGATCACTTTTCATGTGGTCTGGGTATTACATTTCTTTTGTGCTGGAAAGGTTGCTTCATTGGTGCACGTATTTCCTTACAGTAGAAATGCAGCATTTACTTACTTGGCTACCTTCTTTATTCGCTTAGGAGATTGTCATTCTCTATTATCTACAAACCCAATATTAATACTTTAAAATGACAAATCCAATTACATTTTCATTTCTTTGTATGTGAATTTTTCTTAATGTATATTTAGCATAATACATTTTATACAGAGTCATGTCATAGTTGTTATTGTTTCAAAAGATTCTTCGGGGCTAAAAATGACTTTTAAAAATGTATCCTTTGACATTCATGAAGTAATTTTTTCCTTTGGTAGTTTTCAGTATGTTTCCTCCTCCCCACCAGGATCAAGGCCATGCTTGTGTCTTGATTTAACCACAAATAGAGACAGATTGGGGAAGTAGAATAAGTTCTGCTGGATAGTAAAACACTTGTTCATTACCTTATTTATTAAAAACAAAGCAATACCATTATATACATACATATATATATAGAGAGAGAGAGAGCACGCGTACACACGAGCAAGAGCTTTCTATGTAGCCTGAGATGGGGAAGAATACAGTGCTTTGCTTCTAAAGCAGAAAAGTTGGAACATTTACCCACAAATCATTTCTTATCCTATTTGATCTTAGGTTGGCACATAAGGAGGTGAATTGTTCCATCTTAGGGGAAAAATACTGAAGAATGGTGGGGAGATGTGGGTGGTGAGGAGTCACTTTCATTCCAGTTTCTACTTACTGTCTTGCAGAACTTTCTAAACAGATGGTATTTGTCAATGAAATTTCAAAAGACCTTTTTTGAAGTTTATATGAGTTGCTCTTTACTTCTACAAAGAAATTCCAAGCTAACTAGAGTATTGTGGTATTACTACCAGAGGGAAAAGTACAATTTTAAAAATCAATATTCCTGGAAGAATTTCCTGTAGTACATTAAATTACTTTGTTATTGTTAGACTCTCACCTAAATATTTTTTGGCAGTAGAGAATTTTTGGGTAACTTTCTATTTGATACAATTTTAAGCTTAATAGAAACATTGCAAGAATGGTACAAGGAACTCCGGTATGCACTTTACCTACATTCATCCATTGTTAACATTTTGCCCCATACATATGTGCTGTCCTCCTCCAATCCCTCCTCCTTCCCTTCCCCTCCCCCATTTTTTTCTTGAAATTTTGAGAGTAAGTTGGAGACATTGTGATCCTTTATAACTGAATGCTTCAGGCCAGGCGCGGGGGCTCAAGCCTGTAATCCCAGCACTCTGGGAGGCCGAGGCGGGCGGATCATGGTCAGGAGATCGAGACCATCCTGGCTAACACAGTGAAACCCCGTCTCTACTAAAAAATACAAAAAATTAGCTGGGCGGGGTGGCGGGCGCCTGTAGTCCCAGCTAATTGGGAGGCTGAGGCAGGAGAATGGCGTGAACCCAGGAGGTGGAGGTTGCAGTGAGCCGAGATCGCGCCACTGCACTCCAGCCTGGGCGACAGAGCGAGTCTCCGTCTCAAAAAAAAAAAAAAAAAAAATATATATATATATATATATATATATATATATATATATATATATGTAACTGAATGCTTCAATGTAAATTCCAAAGAACAAAGACATTCTCTTACCTAAACACAATACCCTTTTACCCTTATCAAATTCAGGCAGTTTAATGTTTGCACAATACTATTTTCTAATCCACAGTCTGTGTATTCAATGTTGTTGTTTATACCAGTTAATGTTCATTATAGGTTTTTCCTCCCAGACCAGGATCCAATTGAGGATCAAACATTGCATTTAGTTGTCGTGTCTCTGGCTTCCTTCAATCTGGAAAAGTTACTTCATCTTCCTTTGTCTTTCTTTGATGTTTTGATATTTTGCCAGTTATTTTTGTAGAATTTCCCTCAATGTGGATTTGTCTGATGTTTCCCTATGATTCGATGCAGGTTATGAATTTTTGGTGGGAATACCAAAGAAGTGATGCTGTCTCCTCATGCCGGGAGTTATATATATTATATCCCTTTTGGTGATGCTACTTTTTCGTTTTCCATATTTCTAACTACCTTCAACAGTGAGAAACCTGCGATCTTGGCTCACTGCAACCTCCATCCGCCTCCCAGGTTCAAGTGATTCTCCTGCTACAGCTCCCTAAATAGCTGGGATTACAGGCGCTCGCTGCCATGCCTGGCTAATTTGTTGTATTTTTAGTAGAGACAGGGTTTCATTCTGTTGGCTCAGGCTGGTCTCTGACTGCTGACCTCGTGATGCGCCCGCCTTGGCCTCCCAAAGTGCTGGGATTACAGGCGTGAGCCACTGCGCCCAGCCCTATCCTGGATATATTTACTCACTTGCTGAAGTCTAGAATACACAGGAAATAGTTTCAAAATTGCTAGCCCATACTACTACAGAAAATAAACCTAGAACCTAGAGTTCCTATTTGTGCGTAGTTCTTTTTTTCTAGGTAAAATTTATATATGGTGAAATGTATGAATCTTAAAACAACTCTAAGTTTTAACAAATGTATACACCCGTGTAACCCACACTCTTCCCATCAAGATATTAGAGTTCTGCCATCACTCCAGAAAGTTCCAAGGTACCCTTTCCCAGTCAATTCTGGTGGAAGGGGAACTATGTTGTATATTATGACTAGTCCTTCTCTATAAGGAGTAAAGCTAGGCACCTTCAGGTGCTCTATGCAATAATAGCCTTGTTTCTGGGACCCAGAAGTTGACCAAAACCTTTTTTCAGACCTGCAGAGTCAGGAGCAGGACTGTGCTAGAGGAGACTGCATGCAGAGTATTCTTGCTCTTGTTGCACAATTCTGTTGCAACCTTTGTGATATTGCAGGAACAGCCTGTTATGAAGAATCAGGCTCCAAACTTGGTTTGCATACCATCTGGGACCCGCGCAGATGTAGCAAGATGTGCCCAGAAACCTGATCTTGAGATTTTAGTGATTAGCAACCCTAATAATACACTCATTCTGGTGTTGCCTGTGCAGTAGGTTCTTCTGTTGATGGGTTATGATTAAACTCCTCAAAGTGACTTGCTATTAACTTTCCGTGTGTATCTGGGCATATGTCTTGAAGAGTGATAGGGTAAGGGTTGGGTAGGAATAATAAATGTCAGCTGGTATATCATACTTTGTTTTGGCCGTTGTCATAGCCAGCCTGCCCATTTATTTTTTGATATTATATAATCCTACCTTTCTTCTATCATATTTTCTTGTTACTTATGAAGCATGAAAGGCTAGGCATGGTGG